GAGGTTGTCCATGTATTTTGACGTGTCTTCCTTATGTGTTCATTTTTCCCCTGAGCACTTTGTAGTTTGAAGGTGTGCATTCCGTTAGTTCTGTAGACTGAGTACCTGCATGGGTGATGCACCTTCTCTTTGCAAGGCTGGGGTAGCGCTTTCCGCACTGCGGGGAGAACTGGATGACATTTGTCCTTTTCCTTCAGGTACTTGTGAGGAAGAACTAACCCCAATTTGATCTCATGCACAATGTTGGAGTATGTGTTTCATGCTAGCTGTTTCTTCAAATCCATTCTGCTCCAGTGTGTGTATTTTGATTTAATGTTTCAAATATTTTTCTGAAATGTTTCATTCAGATCTGCCAGCCATATCTTCCAAATATAAAACTCCTCTGGCTTTGAGGTTCTGTGATTTATTTTTAGAAATGCAACAGTTCTGCCTCCTTTGCTTGAAAGTACTTAAAAAATGTGTTGGAATTGCCCATTTTCCTCTAAGACTTCCAATTGCAGTAAATGTCACTATATGAGGTGATATAGGCAATCTTAGTTTGGGTCTTAAGAACACTGTTTGACTTATGCTTAGACTGGAGGCCAAGAGATTTAGGGTGAACTCAGTTATGTTTTTCGTTTGAAGAGTGCTTGTCATCCTTACCCAAACTGACTATGGGTTTAGATTTTCCCAGGATTTGCAGTTCTGTGGGCAAATTGTACTTATACATAATGACAGCAGAGGGAGAGCATGGAAACCAGGAATTTTTCTCTACTGGAAGGCCTGTAAGAGACCAGATCATCCAAAACAGAGGATAGTGGTAACGTAGGTGATGTGTATCCCTGGCAGCTGGAGCCCTGGACACTTGCAGAGTAGCTGCCGTAACCTACATTTCCAAAACCAGAGCCAGGAGTATCACCACAGGACTCTTTCTGCAGGGAACAGGGGCTGTTCTCCAGCATCGATAAGCACTGTACCAACTGATAGTCACCACAAAGAGCAGTCCTCCTTTACTGTCTCCACCAGCACTTGCTGTCATTTGATGTCTTAACAAGCTTTTCTGTAGGATCAGGGATTTTTGTTTTGTTTTGGCTAGTTAATCTGCTTCAACTGGCAGAAGGGAAAATATAAGGGAGGCCACCTCTCATGGAAACAGCTAGGTGTCAGGTTAGCTTAGCTGGACGCTTGGTAAAAGAGAGTTAAAGTGCTTTTGAGTAGTTGAGGAAAAGTCACAGACAATTAAAATTCAGCAAGGGAGCTTGATATTCTCATTTTTCTCATCGGTGCAAAACAGGCTAAAAAGTCTTTAAAGGTCTCCATAATAATCACTGGCATTAGTCTACTCTGTCACAGTTACCAATTTGCCCTAAAGTTTTGTTTTGAATAAATGTACATGACTGTAATCTAACACACCTAATGATGCGATTCTCTAGTTCTGGCTAAACCCTCAAAATAAGCCATGGTTACTCTACTTCAAGGAATTTCCTTTTACAAAGATACATATCAAAACAGAGAGTAATTAAAAGACATAAAATACCATTTGAAAACCAAAGTATAACTAGAAAACATAATTACTACTACCTTTGAAATCAGACTTAAACATGGTGAGGTCTAGGCTTAGTATAAAGTATTAAAATAATCAAAAAGAATGATGAAGTCAAGTTCAGCCAGTACGTGTTTGCTACCAAAGCAAACGGAATTGAAAAGCTCATGGAATTTAGTCATCAGAAGACAACCTAAAAACAGTGTGTACTGAAGTGCTAAAAGCAGCTTTTGACATCAGTCATCTATGGCTACAGAGAAAACTGTCTTAAAGTGAACTACACAAACCAAAATTAACAACTTGATCATTTAAAGTGGATAAGGAAATGTTATCTTCCTCCTTCAACCAACGATTAAAAGCCAGTACTAATAACTATCATCCTTGTCTATCTAAAGGACTGTACATAACAGAAAGAGTTCCTGATTCACTGAACGACCAATACTTTCCCTGCTTACAAGGGGAGCTCTATTCAAAACATGTCTTGTTAAATCTTTTTAATATACCCATATTTTTAATTTCTTGGGCAGAGCTGACTAAAAGCACTGATTATGAGGATTTTTAAAATTTAATTAAAAAGTTCTACCCAAACCAGAGGTTAAATATATCTTAAGTGAAAGTTAACTACCTAATTAGAAATAGACAATTTTTGTATGTACAGACCTAGAAAACTGAGATTAGAGCAAATGTATTGAATCAGGTAAATCATACAAAATAAAGTCTGTCTCTCATCTTTGTACACAAAAGTACCAAATATCACACAAAATTATGCATTTAGCTGGATATCAACATTTTTTTCAATGTTATAAACCCATAAGAATCAACCTTTCCTTTGGAAAATGACAAGAAAGTACAAATTCAACACAGCACTAAACTCAATTATTTATATCTAGTTACTTGCTTGTTAATATGAAACACATTTAAATTACTTATTTTAATTCGTGGATTTAAATCAATCCACTCCAGTTACTGATGTTTTTTCTATATAAACAAACCTCTTCATGTTTCTGAATATATATATGCACCAGTTCAACTGTCACCTCAACACCTTTCCTTATTTCATGAACAATCAAGATGCTGCAATTCAGCAAAGACTACATGTGAAATGGTAAACAAACATGAAGTGAGATCTATATAGTATTTTTGTGGTGTTCAGTCAAGAGACCAAATTCAAGCTGGTAATGGTTTATCATAGTTCACTGAAGTATGCAGTTGTCTCTACGCTTTGCTCAAAAAAATAAAGCAGAAGCCACAAGTAGCACTTTGCCAGGTCCACCTGTGTGACAAATGCCTTTATTGAGATAGTGACAGTTTCACCTTATACTCCCTGATGTACCACTTTCCCTTTGCTTCCTGAATTTCTTTGCCTATCAATCTGCTACGTTTGCAAAATGACCCAACTTTGGGTGTTAAAACTGTCATTTTTCTGTGTGTGTACGCACTTATGTATTCCTTGCACCTGTGTAAATAAACTGCAGGAACTCACTCCACTTGGATTTTGCCTATGTCAGAACTATGCCTATGTCAGATCATATTTGATTACTGTGAGGACTGAGCTTACTATGAAATGCACAATAGTGCTTCATTTATTGCTTCTCTACACCAGCTTGTAAATAGTCTATCCCTGTGTTACTCCCTACAAGCTTCCTCTGTAAAGCACTACGTGTGAACCTGACTAGTTAGTAAGTCATACTAAGTGTGTTCTGTAGTGTCAGGTGTTAAATAGTTGGAGAGACATGATCTAAATATTACACAGAAATGGATTAATTCACAATTGTTGCCAAGATGTTTGAAGGAAATAAGAACTTCTTAGGTCTGTTCATTGCAGGGAGGGGAATTGAATATGGGATGGCAGTGTGGTTAGAGGCAGTATTCTCATTTATTTCTTTGAAGAGCATGTGCAAACATCAAGGTTAAGGTCATAACAGTATTGCCATGTTCTCACCCCTTTAATTCCTGGGTCTTTAAAATAAAATCCACCAAAGTGAAACAAGAAAATGGGGTGAGAGTAGAAGCTAGGTTAATTTTAACTTGATCAGGCTGAGATAACCCACCATTCTGTCTATCATTAATGTAAGATTACTTTGCTTTCTGGTTAGGGATGAACAGAAACCTTTATTATATACTGAAAGAAGAGACTTACTCTGTGAAGACCTGTGTGGACTCTGAGCTGTGAAGTGACAGAAATGCAGTGCTGGCAGGCAGAAGGCACTACCCATTGCGGCACATACCTCCATCTTGTAACGGCCCAGGGTCTGAAATAAGGGGCTTATCACTTAATGGCTTTCATGTGTGAAAGAAAGTACACGCGTGGGGAAAACCTAAATTAGTCTGCCACAATACACTCAGAGATTTTTCATATATGTGAAGGGGTTGCCTTCATGATGGAAAGAGAGAGGCGTGCATCTCAGTGAAAAACATGACTGGCAAAAGCTTCATTTGTTCACTCCCTCCTGCCCAGCAAATTGCCTGAAAGTGGATCATAAACAGCGATGCATCATTACTGTTACCTCCCGATATGACTCACTGAGCCATATATAGCAGCTCGTGTTTTGAGGAGAATTCTTACTCAGAGAAAGTAGCATGTGAAAACAAATACTAAATGTCAGACTGTTATGTCACTGTAGCATTATAATTTCTTTCATGGCAGATAAAAATGTCTAAAAATGTCTTGAACAGCAATGCCTGTCTGTATTAAGCAGGTATTGTCAGGTTAAAAATCCTCATTAGTTTTCTCCTGATTCATTGCTCTTATTTTCATAATATTTATCTCTTTTTGTGCAACAAGAATGTGTTTGTTGATTGCATTAGCAAATTCTTGGATATTTCAATATTTGGATTGCTGGTATGCAAGGTAGCAGGTGGCTTTTGGAGCATGCTTTAGGCTTTTTTTACTTTTTGTTTTTAAGAGCTCTCTCTCTTTGATTGCCTAATCATGCCCCAAATTAATTCTCTGTGATTTCTTTCTATTCTCTTTCAGTTGTGAAGAAACTGCTTGTGAAATCCAAGTGTGACTCATAACGTTGATCCCTTCTAAGATTCTTCTATCCCCCTTTTAGAAAGATTGGCTTTCTGGAATACTCCCAGCATCCTCTCTCCATATTTTGCATTAATTTAGTACCTTGAAATTTACACTGCTTTTCCTGCCAAGAAAGACTAGTCAAGGCTTTCTTTAGGGCTTCTGTGATTGCTGCTGGACCAGCCTCTTCATCCTTATCCCCAGATGAACTCTAGCCTGAGGATCCAGAGCTCTGTTTTTCTGGTGCTGTTGCCAGTGTAACTTTTGTTCCATGTCCGCTGCTATAGTAAAGTACTGAGTTGTTTGTTTATGTTGCATGTATGTTGACTCAGCTTTTGCTTTAAAAAGGTGCTCAAGATTTTTAAACAAGTGCTGGGAAGTAAGAAGCCTTTCTTGTGTTTTGTGATACTGATAACATATTGACAAAGCTGTGTTAGTAAAAGAAATATTCCTGTGTTCTGTTACAGGTTTTGGGATTTGAAGTTGATACGGTGAACTCTGTCCAGTTTTCAAACCACACAGGTAAAGTTTTACACGTGTCTTCAGATAACACTCCACAGTCATTCAGCTCCACTCAACATGTGGCTCACCTCATCACATGACAGTGGAAAGATCAGTCTTAGGTTTTCACTCACATTTTCAGAATACAGGGCAGAAATGTAATTTTCATGTTTTGATTCAAGTCTTAGAGAAGTCTGGATTTGAGATAAGGACATGATATGACATGGTAATGTCCTGTTCTGCTACTTCAGAGTGTGAGTTTCGTTAGGCAGTAATTTAATTAAGTCAGACAGTGAAATAACACAAATACAGCTATCTACGCAGGCAGGCCTGTGACGAGTGTTGTTTTCAGTACTGTTTTCTGTGCAGTATGTTCTATGTCACTCATAATCGTATTACCAAACATCATATGAATACTGAGTTAGATGCAATATTTCCTCTCTTTATGTGCCCACCCAGATGACTAGAAATTATCCTGAAATTACATTCTGGAGGGAGGAAGGGAGTGGAGTGTTAATACATTTATATGTATTTTTACTTGGGTTCTAAGCCTGAACACGATGCACTTGCGTAATACTTTCAGACTTCCTAACACTCACAGTGCTAGAGGACTTTTATTTTTCAAAAGAAAGCTGAAATTTATGTTTATTTTAGAAATACCTTCCATCCATAAAGGAAGTCCAAGTGACTTACTATTTTAGATCAAGCGACATGTCTATGGATATGGTGGTGACAGGTTGTTTGAGGGGGGATCTACTCTAGATAATTCTAAGGGTGTCTTAAATAATCAAGGAACAAGCTCAGACATTAACATTTTGTAAAAGACCAAACATTGTGTCTGACAAAGAAAAAAACCGCAAAACCTAAAGCTGAGGTTCTTTGCTAGTATCTCACAGGTATAGCTCTATTAATAAACTGCTTTTTAACAACGAGCAGATCAGGAAATCTCTGTCCTCTCTTACTATGTTACTTACTGAGCTCCGTGGAGCTTTCAAAAGGTTGTAAGATGTTCTTATCATGGGAAGAATTTAGTGTCACCCTGGGAAGAAGAAATTAATGTTTCAAACATAGCTAGAAAGCTATCTCTGCTTGTTGAGGAAAGGCACGAAAGCGGTAATAATTAAACAAGGTGGGGGTCTTTCCTGGCTGAGGAAAAAAGCTGCTTATTCTGCTTGTACCCTTTGACACAGTACAAAGGTTCTGTCATGTTTTTGAGATGATTAGATGTGACTTATGTTTCTTTAATGTATTTAGTTTTGGAGCTTGGGATTTTTTGTTGTTTAGTTTGTGATAGCTGGGTAAAACAATAGTAATCTTCCAGAAATTAAGCAATTTTTTCATGTGAAAGAACTCAGCGCTCAAAATGGATCAGCACCTGTTGTTTGTTGGCTTTCAGTTTCAAGATTAAATCAGCTTTATAGGGCATTAAAAGAGCTTAACAGAGGTTTTATTAGATCATCAGCTGAATGTGTCTGAAGGTAGGAAAATTACATTACCAATAGGATGACCAGATTCTTCAAACAGAAAAGAGGGAAGATTTTTTGTAATAGTATCACAGCTGGAGAAGGGTTACCAGTGCTTCATTCAAGGTTTGGCAGACCATGAAGACAGTAGAAGATACAACAAATTAGTGATTTTTTTTTTTTCTTCCCTTAGAAGGCCTAAATGAACATCCCAAACCCAAAAATGTCTCAAAGATCATAAGCCTTTAAAATATTTGGAACTTTTATTTTGTCTCCCGGTGTTTAGGAGTCACATTATCAAGGTTTTTTGTAATCTTGATTGTCTTAGTAAATGTGTTAAAAAAATCCCAAAGATTGGCGCACAACCTCATGACTTTGGGAAGCAGAGCTTTCAGAAAAACATGGCAATAGAGTAAATGTTTGGCACTTGCCAAGCGTGAGTAAAAGGAGATTCTATTTAGAAGTATTGGTCATTTGGCTGAAAGAGGAAGGAATGGAAAAAAAAGGAAGGTCACACATTCCTTTTTATGACATGTCTAGTTTTCTAACACTGCAGTTTTTCCATTAAATCCTTCCTACTCTCTCTTAAATTGAAGGATAGATGCTAAGCCTAGTGGCTTTCCACCTTCTCTTTGAGAGAGGCATGTAGGAATGTGTGGTGTCATCATATGAAGACTTTTCCAAGCTTGAACATTTACACATGCCTGCACATCAGCTTGCACCAGTACCTGGAAATCAATGTACCACTGCAGGGATTAATGAGCAGAAACTGCCGTGCTGGGCTGTGGCTTGTCTGGAGCAGTGCTGCAATACACAGGAATCATGTGCTGGATGAATGGGTGAAGGTAGCTTGATTTTCCTACAGGAACAAGACTTTGTGAGAACCCTTTCTGTGGTCATCATTAAAGCTGAAGGGCAAATTTCTGCTTCAAAATCTAGCTGTGAACTTTAGTTTCTAAAATAATGCCACATACCAGAGGGGCACAGGTAGCAAAGCTGCGAGGTTTTGGACATGGCATTCTTTCCTTCTCCATCCCCATCTTTAAACCTGGTTTTGTCAGCAAAAGGTAGAATGCAGAGAGAATTGTTGACTAACAGTCTTTCTTTCACCTGCATATATATATTCAGGTGAATCATCATTGCTTTTTTTTGCCCTGTCTTTAAATAAGTAAGGTACCACGGGCCTATTTCTGCTGACTTCTGCTCAGAAAATTCAGCTTTCTTTAGTCTCTGATAATCATAAAATTCAGAAGATGTGCTTTAAATCAGTCCCCCTGGGAGAACAGTTTGTCATGTTGCTTGGTGAGGAACTTTAATGATTAGAGTGACTCTCCCTTGAATGGCATCATGCTTCATGTACAAATAAAAGAAGCTGTCATGCAACCTACAAAGAATCTGTGCTTTTTATTCTATTTTACTGTATTGTTTGCAGAAGCATCTCATCATCTGATGTGCAGAAATAAAAATCTAGATTTTTTAAATGTATTGTATTGTTGAATTTTTTTGGGGTGCATTTTTAATTCTTCAGTGATTTGCATTTTTGTTTTTAATTGGTAGGTTAATGGTAAACATATAACGTGCTTACTTTGCCATCCAAGTCCTATCTTTGAAGCTGTGCCAGAGCAAATAGCCTGGTTTTTTTCTGTTCCTTTTTATTTTTAAGCAAAGCAGTTCCACTTAGTGGGTGTGTAGTGGGTGGTTGGGTTGGCTGGTAGGTCCAATACATGCGAAATTATAATTATGTCTTGTTGATGTGATTCTTCACAGTCTACTGCCCATATGCAGCCGTTCACACCTGTGCAGTGTGGGACAAAAAGAAAAGATCTCCACTTGTGCCTAACACTGGTAGTATATTACTTCCACGCTGAGCAGCTGTGAAAAATCCAATGGAGAATTTGGTACTTGTATTTCTGGTTTTGTTGAAGGCATCCTGGTAGCTGAAGATTAAGCCATGTTTTTAGACCAGGTTGTCTGCCAGAGTTTGCATGTGAATTTTGTGGCACAGCTTGAACCAGACTGCCTGCCCATCATGTGCCTTAAACACTATATCTTTCTTCCTTTTTCCTGTGTAAAATATTTGGTTGCTGAAGCCACTTGGAATAGTTTTGCAGGGAGCATGACAGGAGGAACTCAAACCTCAGAACAGAATGTTCCGGGCTGGAAAACAAAGAACTCTTACAAGCCTTGCTATACTTAAATGGTAGCTTGGTTTCTGGGGTCTGGGGTGGGTTTTTTGTTTGGTTTTGATGGTTTGGTTTTGGGGGTTTTTTTACTTCTGGTATGCCTGGGATTTTTATTCTTTTCTTTTTTCTTTTGTTTTTGAAAGTAATCAAGAGGCTTATAAGTATATTTGTTTTTCTCCTTTGGAAGGTATCAGTAGAGGGAGGCAAGAATGAAAAGTATGTAAATTCATCTTGCATTCAATATTAGCTGCCTCTCTTGATTGTGTTTTTGTTTGTTTGGTTTTTTTCTTTTTCCTCCAGATGAACCAAGGCATTTCCTTGTAGAATAATGAATACATTTATCATTTTAGAGGAATAAGTGACAAGAGGCATCATATCTTACCTGTTTTTCATTCCCTTATCTGCTTAAAAGCAAATATATAACATTTAATTGCAATGAAATGCTATAACACAGATATGCACAAGGGGTATAAAGATGTTTAAATGTTTATGTTCATCTATGTGTTTAAAATTATTACTAATCTGGGAGACGAATGTGGTCAGTCTGAGCCAAGTGCAGTTTTGGAGAGCTGTATCATGATTTGCAGTGCTCTATCAGTCCAGCACTGAGGGGAATTATCTGGTGGTTTTGTAACAAAGCAAGGAAGACTTCGCTTTTTTCAGTTTTGGAAGATACACGCCGAGATTTCACCTTAATACCCAAGATAAAAGAGTAATAATTTGATCCAGCTGCTATGCCTAACCAGCTCTGCAGTCTCCAACTGGGATGTAGTTGTTTTGCCAAGTACAAACTTGAAATTCATTCTTTAGTTTTCTTGGCAGTGGTTGTTGTATAATGTGTACAAATAGCCAGGTACTGAGAGACCTTGGACTTCTGTATTGTTGAGTGCCACAGTGGAAATATTACTGCAGAGCAGGAGTTATAGTAAGTGGACAGTTAAACAGAAGGTTTTAAGTTTTCTCTTGCTGTTCCCCAGTTACTCATATTTAGTGGCGTAGGCATAGGGATAACGTTTCTAGGATGCTGATTTTCTTTTAGGTCTTGCAAAGCAGCTCAGGGCCTTCAAATGTGCTCATTGCCAACCGAGTTCTAACGTCTAGCCAAAGAAGACAGCAATTCCTTGTTATCACCTATAACTCCAACCACTCGCGCTTTTCCCTGAAGCCGATTGGACCTCACATGTTTAAGCTTGGTCTTGGCATTCCTTGCTAACTAGCTTTGGGTTCAGGGCTGTGCGCTGTTTTTTTTTGACCACACGGTATCTATCTGGATTTTTTGCCTTTCCCCTTCCAAAATAGTACCTCTCCCTCTTCTTGAGACCCCAAGGTATCCATCCTTCAATTAGTGAAACCCTTTTTGAACATGAGTAACTGGCGTTTTCTTCTGTCCCCCTACAGAAGCTGCTTTTTGGTTTTATATTCCACTAGGAGAGTAGGATAAATACCGGGTTGTAGGATTTGCCCCTTGTTCATCATGTTCCATGAAGTTACCCTGGGGAAAGGGCTTAGGATGGTTTCCATCTTGATGCCAGTTTTGATTTTGTTTGTTTTTTCTTACTCACACATGAATCAGCTCCTAGTGAAATCACAGTTTTCTGCAGATCCAATGAAGGCATTGCCCTTTTTCTTCTGTCTGAATAACTGGGGCTTCCCTAGGGCTTCTTTTTCCTCCAGCTGTCATGTGATCAGACTTTGGGTTGTATTACACATGTTACCAGGTGGTAAAAAGGATCCTCTAGATACCCTTGGAAGGCAGTGCTACAGAGTTTGGCCAGTGTCCCTGCCCCATGTGAGTAACTTAACAATTCCTGAGCAAAGCCAGGCTGCTACCTAACATTTTGTTTCCGTATTTATTTCCCTCCCTTGGTGGAGGATCAGTGTGACATGGACCCTGTGCAGTGACTGTTTAGGACAGCTTGACAGAGGAAGAGGAACTTATAGTGAAAAAGTGAATTTGCAAGATCCCTCTGTAGGAATGGCTCTCAAGAGTATCTGGATTGTCTGGACAATCTATTTTAGTTATTTTTATGGCCATGTGTAAGATGAATGACTGCTCTTCTGCCACCTGACCTTGATTCTGGGTGAAAACTCAGTTTCATTGATGGGTACAATGGAATAAAAAGGACTGTGTTGTGTCCCTGTATGGACTGGTTTTGCTGTGCTAATAGAAGTAGAGATTTGGGCAAGAGGAGAGAGGGCAGGCTATTTTTCTCTGAAGCTACAGATGTAACAGAACGAACAACTGCATATGCGTTAAAGCAGCCCAATATTTGAGTCAGTTGTAGTCAAGGGTTCCTCATCTGCTTGGGGTTAGACACATACCTAGGTGTTAGGCGTTGCCATTTTGAGTATCACTGTATTCTGGAGTGGAACGACAGCCCTAACATACAGGAATCCTTCACTTTGTCCGTTTCTTCACAGAGACTTTTTAAAAAGCATTTGCTATGGAGGGGATCGTAGTGGCTGATGTGAGTCAGTCCCCCAGCCAGCTGGCAGTGAGTCGTGTTTCAGAGGCTAGGCCTTTGAGAGCTGAGGAGAACAAAATGATCCATCTGCTCACCCTACTGTGGGTGTATTTGCATTCATAAAAAGGAAAACTGAAAAATGTGCCTATCCTAGGCTCTAGGCACCTTTTGGCAGTTACTCTAATAACACAGTTCAGAGTGGTAATCAAGGCCAACAGTTTTTATCACAGAATTTTCTAACTCCAAGAGTAGAAATTAAAACAAACAAAATACCATTGTCTTCACATGGGGGTGGTGTGGAACAAGGTACTTAATTTAACACTTCACTTCTCCTAATTCCAGTTAATAAAAGGATAAGCTTTTTAACAAATGGAGTTTGTTAGACAAATTCCATCTGAATTTTTGGAGGTTGGAAGAGTTAAATTGTGGGTGCTTCATCTATTATCCTGAAGGAAGCCCCATTCTTGTATATAAGGGAGTGGTGGCTGCCATCTATATGGGCAGTCTTTGATGAAAAGGTGCAAGGTGCATTTACATTTTTTAACAAATGTTTGTAGAGTCTGTCAAGGAAGATTTTTTTTTCCTTTGAAATTGGCTGCCATGGCAGCTTCTCCCAAGTAACTTCACCCTCCATCTGCTGCTCAGCCAAGAATATTGGCTTGTAATTCTTAGAGATCATTCAAGGATAAGAGTGTATGGATATTTATTTGTCTGTTTATAGTGTCTTTCTGATACTCATTTGCCGCCTCCAGGATCCTCAGTATTAAAATTGTGCTATTTTTGCGAAGAAAATCTGTGAGATGTCATTGTAAGTTTAGAGCACCCATGACAATGTTCTGCTGTGGTCACTCCGTTACATGCAGGTCTCAGTGAACGCCGTATCTGATGGGTGCAGCAGTGCTGCATGCCTGTCTCCAGACAGATCCACAAGCCTGTTTAAGCTTGTCATCTAGCGGTCAATCTTCTTCTTTTTTTTAGTAGTATAAAATAACAAAAATAGATTATACTGACACTCTCCTCCAGTGAAATCTAAAACATGTTTGTCCCCTTCCACCCAGGAAAAGGATAGTTGTGTAGGCTCCATGGGAAAACTTGCAAGAGCTTGTGTGTGCTCTGCTCGATTTGCTGATAAATGAACAGTCTCAAACTCCAGTGTAGTCACTCTAGTTCCTTTGGGAAACACAGGTGCTAGGAAGAACTTGAGCACGTAACTGTTTTGCTCACAGCGGCTTTCATTCGCAACAGCATTTTACAGAAGAGGAGGTGGAAATGCTTTCTGGTGCTAATATCTGATGCAGTCCCTCCAAGTGTCTAATCTATGTGATCCTAAATAGAAAATCTAGCTCTTGAAAAATTATCTGGCTTTTATTTTGCAGGTTATTCCCACTGGAAAGGTCAGGTGTTAAATTCAGATGAACTTCATGAACTGTATGAAGGACTTAAGCTGAACAAGGTCAACCGGTATGATTATGTACTCACAGGTAAGAGTTCTTGGAGTTCTTGTTCCTTGGAGTTCTGATGACGTGTAAACAAAAGTAGATGTAAGCCATACCGCTCCTTATTCCAAACCAAGCAATTACATTTTCCCTCCTTTCATTCCTCCTGCAAT